AAAATATATATATGATAATATGTATATACACACACATGTACAGTTTGTGTTTGGATTTTGTACATATGCAGCTTGGCATTTAGGTCACATTTAGGACTTTCTTGGGAGCCAGGAGCTGGAGAAAAACTCTTGATGCTCTTCAAAGAGAATTTAGGGACAGCAGGGCTCAGCTGCACCCAACATCGAGTTCAGCCAGCTGCCAGCAGGACCAAATACATCCTGGATGTCGCGTGACAGAGGACTATGACCCAGCCAGGTCTGCTGAAATAAAATGGGCTAAGGCTAAGGTAGGGCGCTACAGAAGACTCTAAGATTGCTTCTTAAACAAAGAACCTCCAGAGGGGTTAGGGACGAACAGGGTGGAGCTGGCTTTATTATATTTGTTCAACACATGGAAAGCACTCACTGAATGATGCCACTTTGCTCATTAGAGCAGCAACTAAAGCCTGTTGGCTCTGCTGAGCTTATGGGAGACCAGGTCAGAAGAGAATCCAAAGCCCATATTGAAGAAACGTTGATATTTGCAATTCACGGGAGGAGGGGGACGAACTGGAGCAGAGGTTATTGAAATGCCTCGGCAAGGCTGCACGGAGTTAATTCACTGCTGATGGTCATTCCTGGTTTTAATTTGTAGCTCTGATGTTCTAGGCAAATGTCATAAAACCAACAGTGTTTTCCTTCATCCCGCAGCCACTACGTTACAGGGGTATTTATCTCAAGAATAGAAAGGAAATATTTCAGCTAAGTATCCTCAAGAGACAGTGATAGTCCCAGAGCAAAATAACATTAAAATTTCCAGATGCTCATATCCGGAGCCTGACTTGGGTTCAGTTCCGGCTCTGTGGCAATACCTTTATGTTTCTGTAAGCCTTTCCTTTGATGAGCACTAAAATACTATACACACATTAATCTATCATGATTTGCAATATCCTGCGAGGTAAGTACCACTGGACCTGCTGCACATCTGGAGAGGAGCGATACCCATATGCAGCTGCTTATGCCGAGGTCACAGGACACGTTTTCCTTAGACTCTTTTTCTGTTTTAATCCAAAAATTGTCATCAACTTTTTTTTTTTTTTAATCCTTTTTGGGATGGGATGCTGAAACATATAATCCAACCCTTGTTGAGATCTAGTTGAATCTGGGGCCAAGTCTTAGCTCGAGCCCACGTCAGGAATTTGTGTAGGGCTGTCTTCCCCAAACCTGAGTGTTACCTGCACACGGAGCAGGGTGCAGCATCCCCAGCTCTCTACTGGAACACCTGAAATAACCGCTTAGAAAAGACCTGCAGAGAACAGCTGCAAAATCAAGCTCTTCAATCTGAACATTGCATCTGCCGGAACGGCGACTTCTTCCTGCCATCACACGAACTTGCCCCAGGCGGCTGCCTCTTTCTGTGCTCCCCCATGGACTGTCATTCTTACCCAGCATTATCTTAGCCGGAGCTATTACCCTGCAAAATGCGACATTATCTCCTTACTGCCTGGAGCTAGCTCAGGCCTCTCTCCTCATTAAATGACGGCAACCACAGGAGAAAGCGGAACAGGTCAACCACACGCGCTCACCGTCCAGGATTTCTGACAAGACGCTTTGTGCGGTGGGGAACACGCCAGTGCTGCCACTGCAGCTGCAGCCCCGGGCAGGGGCTTCGGAAGAAGCCAGCCTGGGCACGCACAGCCTTTAAACGCGGCACAGAAATGTCTATTTTATCAATATCTTTTTCCTTGCAAAAAATCTTCTGTTCTAGTTTTCCTTAATTCCATAGCATCGGTTCTTAATGATGCATTCATTGGTCATTGTGGCAAAACACACGAGAAGGAAGGACTTCTTCTTTCCTAAATTGCATGAATTTTGGGGACCTCTTTGCTCCCCATAAGCAGGAAGAGATGCCCAGGAATTTATTTTCTAATGCTCACTCAGTACAAGGGATGATTTTACCTGGAATACTGTGAGGATGGCGGCAGGGAAGGTATCAAAATTCGTGGTTGGCGTTTCGTCTTGGAAATTGAATCTAGAGAGAAGTAAGAAATAAAAACAAGAGCCATAAGGGACAAAGAACTCTCCTGCAGTCCCATAATACCCTGTAGCCCCAGTCAGAGAGCAACATTTGTTCCACCTGAAATAACACCCCAGACAACCGCATCCCTGAGAAGATGCTTAACAGCACTATTAGCAGAAACTCAATTTTATTCCTGGAGAAAATGCTGATGCTTTGAAATTCATTTTCATCCACAATTAAAATGAACAATCAAAATCTCAAATGCTTTTTGTGGAACAAACCATTCCAAGAAGTTTGGGGGTTTTTTTCCTCAAATGTAAAAGTCAATTGAAATTGCCCTCATAGTAGGTAATTTAATTATTTTTTTTTTAAGATAAAATAGTGGTAGATTGAAAAAAAAGTAATTTCATTTCAAAAATTATATTGGAGTTTGAATGGTGATACTGTGATAGCTCTTTTCTTTCCTCTAACCCCTGATGGGACAATGGCTGACCAGACTTACTGTCCTCCAAAGAGCTGCATCCCCAGCAGAGCAAACACCACGATGAAGAGGAACAGCAGGAAGAGCAAACTGATGATGGACTTCATGGAGTTCAGCAAGGAGACCACCAGGTTCCTCAGGGAGTTCCAGTACCTGCGTGGGAGATGAGAGCAGCCAAGAGATAACATGAGCGGGAGAAGAGCCTTCAGTGAGAAGCTAATATGATCTATTATCTTATTATAAAAAAGGAAAGGAATGGCAAGGAATATCAGACTTTTTAAACTGCCCTCTAGGATTGGAAAATAGAGCTCAAGGAGTGGCAAAACCCCTTGTAGCATCAGAAGGGCAGAGACGGTCACCTGGGTGTCCGTGTACCCGTGCAGAGCAGCCATCTGCAGTGACAGCAGTCAGTTTAATTTCTCAGTAACCCCTTTTCTGTACAGCTTGTGACCTTTCTGCATCTTCTCATCCGGCATGGCAGTCAGCAGCGGTGTCAAAACCAGCACGTATCAATATCATCAAGGCGAGACTGAACGTGGGGACAGTGAACCCCTCCCTTCGTAAGACCTGAATCGGGAATAAACAGCTCATTTCCAGCAGGACATCTTCGCAGTGTGTCCTTCCAACTCACCGAGGGCCCGTATCGCCAAGCGGTCTTAAACTCCCCCATTTAAACATTTCTGCAGATGCTTAACACACACAGTCACGCACAGCGGCACCTTCAGCATGGGGCAATCCAGCCCCACGCTTTAAGCATCCAGGACCACCCAACTGCCTCGGAGGATGAAAACACATCCGTGACGTTAACTCCAACGGGGCACGAGGAAATGGCTCAGCCCAAATCCTGACTGACACATCCAAGTTGCATCTGGGCAGCTTTTTTACTTTGCTTTTATCTCCCCATCCCCTGAGACGGCTCCTGGCACACTGGCAGGCGCATGGAGTGACGGAGCGCTGGGGAGGGGGCACAGAAACAACTCCTCTTCCTGGCCTTATTGCCCTGCTGAGAACGGGCAGGGAGCAGTTATATTAGGAAAACTAATGAATCAGAAAATGCAGAAAGAGCTATTAAGAGGAGCTCTTTGACAATCTCCTTTTGGACAGACAGAACAAGGGGGCTGGAGCAGGCAGTGGGAAACGAGTGATGTAGAGCCATTTCACATGTCCTCTGATAAAAGTTCTGAGACCGAGACCATGGCGGGGGGAATTTTCCTCTCTTTTTCTCCAGTGACTTCTCTCTTTTCCACCGCCTGGCACCGGGAGCTGCCATCCCATCCAGAGGTCACTCTCCTCAGCAGCATGTTCCACCATCCTGACCCGTGTGTCCTCCAGGTGCGTTTTTGGGGACAGACCCACGCACTGAGCTCCTTCCTGCAGTGCAGCTGTGAGCATCCAGCAGAAGGAATCCCATGGATCTGTTTGATCTGCTGATGGGGAGAGAAGCTCACAGCTTGAGTCAGAAGAGCAGAACCGCCATCCTTGCCTCTTCTCTTCGTCTTAATTTTCCTCCTCTTGCTTCCCCCAGGTGCAGCTGGGAGGACTGAACCACATCATGCATCTCTGCGCTGAGGGTGATACAGGCACATCCATCCCAGGAGAAGGAGGATCTTGGACTCCCATTGCACCATTCCAAGAAAAGTGATGTCCGTAATACAGTGACAGACGTTTCAGGGCAAACTTTGGTCTCTTGGGAGAATACCTTCCATTGAAAAAGTTGCAGCCAAACCTCCTCAGGGCCAGCCCCTAAGCCAAAGGTGCTGAGCTGCTCTCCTGGGAGAAGCAGGAGGGTCTGGCTGATCACACCGCTCTCCTCTGCTTGACACAATGGCTTCAGGCAAAATCTGCAATGAGCAAGGGGTTCGCACTTCACAGTTAACACGACCGGACACAAAATCCACATGGAGGCTCTGTCCTGTCCTGGAATAGCTCAGCACCAAACGCTGCCTGACTCCAGAGGCCAGGACATAATGAGGAGCTGTATTTCCACAGATGCCAGTCCTCATTCTGCTCTGGCATGACAAAGAAGAAAACATGTGAAGCTGTTTTCTCCTTGTCCTCCTTGTTGAATTTTCACCACTCTTGGGCTGTGTCCCCTTGTAATGCATCCTGCTGTCACCTTTCAAGCTGACTGAAATTTAACCTTTTAACTACAGCATCACTCTACCACCTGCAGTCACAGCGATTTGGGATGTATGAATCCAAAGGTCTAATACCATCCATGACTCAAAGCAGGTGGACTGCAGCTGGCTTCTGTTAGACACAGAGGCAAAAGAAAACAGAGCAGGGAGCGTCAGAGAAAAATTACTCTGAAAGAGATGGAAAAAGGGGAAGAAAGAAAACTATGAAGGGTCAGGATGTTTTTGCAGTAAAGACTGTAACGAGAGTGGGTGGGGAGCAACCTGTGCCCGGTAGCATCGCTTTGGTGGCCCTCCATGAGTGACTCCAGGACGGGGCTGTGCAGCTCAGGCACTGGGATAATGTGGCCCAGCACAGCTGAGAGCCCCCTGGGTGAGCAGGGGGGGACCTGGCTTCTGGTAAAGCAGCAAACACATTTCTGTCATGTCAGGTGAAAAATATGTATAATCAGTCAAGGGAACTTCAGCATCAGGGGGGTGAGAATTTCACTCGACGTCCTAAGAAGGGTGGAGAGCACCTGGCTTGGTCCGTGACGTGCTTTATTAAGTTAAGTCTCAGGCTTCATCCCTTTGTTATGTTGGCTAAAATCCTGAATAGTCAAAACCCACAAAAATATCATTTTGACTTGCAAAAATTTCCAAAATCTTTCAAAAGTACAACATACAGTCAGATACACCCAGTAGCTCTGAATAAAACTAACTGCTGACAATTAATTGCCGTGAATTTGCTACAAACCCTGGAGTTTTCTATAAATAAGATCAGTGCAAAGGTAGACTGCAGTGACACTTCTGGGGCAGGCACCCACCCGTTTGGCTGGACAGCTACAGAACTTGATGTTCCAACCCCTTTGTCCCACAGTGCAACAAATGACACAGTGCTGCACGTGAATCTGGGCAAATTAATTTATCTCTTAGCAGATATATATGAGCAAACCCTACAGAGCTGACAAAACCCATGTGTCTGAATAGCTGCAAAAGTACCTGGTTACTTCAAATGAATGTTTTGTTCAATTGTGACAACCTCCACTTTATCTATTTGGGGTGACTGGATTTTTTGGGAGGGAGGTGTGATTCCTCCTTTTGTTACTTCAAGCCGACAACAAGTAAGAAAGTGATGGAAAGAGGGGAGATCTGAGGAGGTAATGGTGTAAAAAGAAAAAAAAAAAAAAAAAAAGGTGGAAAACAACAGCAGGAGCACCCAAATATGTCATCAAGTTCCACACTACAATTCTGAAATGCTGTGGAAATTGCTCTAGATGGATTTATAAATTGCACAGTAGCTCTTCACTAACGCCAGCACACGTTAACGCAACGCATGGAAACAACTGAAAAGCCGTGGCAACCCAACTCTACTGAAAATTCAACTTCACAGGCTTGAGCCTGAAAGCCTCAGATGCTCCCAGAGCAGAGAGAGCACAGGCAGCAGCAACACTCTTCGTATCTGTGTCAACACTGTGGTTCAGGCACCAGGATTTGGTATCCAGCAACAACCAGGGTAGCTCAGCTCACCAGATCCTCAACTCCTAAAGAACTGCCACCAGACCAGCAGCAGATAAGGGCAGCAGTCGATGGGGCTTAGAAAGTAAATAAGAAACTTTTTTCTCTTACCACAAGGAATAAGGGCTCACCCTCAGAGGAGATTTTTGTTTTAAGCAAGCTTAAAAACAACGAAAAGAAGGATGTTCTCCTGCAGCTCATCGCTGCACGGTGGAGCCCTCTGCCCCGGGGTAGGAAAGGGATGAGAAAGAAGTCAGACAAAGCTGTACAGGAGGCTGGGGAAGGAGCTGTTAATAGTCCTCATGGATGCAAATTCTGGCTCAGGAAACTCCCTAAACTGTCAACTGCCAGAAACCCAGATTGCCCAGCCAAGGGAAGGGCAGTCCCACATTTGCAATTTTCTTCCACTCCCCCACCCACTAGAGTCAGTGCAGACGCAGCATATTAGGACAGACAAGACCCTTGTGCCAGCTACTATAGGGGATTCGGAGGGTTGGTTTTGGTTTTCTTTTTCTTAAAAAAAAAACCAAAAAAACAAAAAAACCCAAGAAAACAACCAAAACAAAAAAAAAAAAAAACAAAAAAACCCAAAAAACCAACCAAAACAAAAAAAAAAAAAAAGGAGTGTGGAAAGCACGACTCCTTGCTGTGGGGCTGGTGATACAGATCTCATATGGTACCAAAAGTCTCCTGTGAGTGGAAAGGGAGCTGGACTTACTTTGTGACTTTGAAAATCCTCAGCAGTCGAAGAGCTCTCAATACGCTGATGCCAAATGAGGTACCTGGTTTCACTGCAGCCCAAATAACTTCAAATATACTCCCCACGATGACCTGCAAGAAGAATCCATTTTACATAAGGCAAAACTTCTGCTTAGTTCCTTGTGGTGCTGCTAGAGAGGCTGAGGAGAGAACACGAATCAGAGCTTGGGCTGTGATGGGTTTTTTTATGAAGGCTTCAGTAAATTCTTAAATTAGCCAACAGCACTAAAGAACCTTGTTCCACATTTTTGCAGTCCAGTCTGAAAAAGGGCAACACCTAGAAGCAGGACAGACACAGAGAGAATGACAGGAACTTGTTGCTTTCTCCTCTAGCAAGCAAACTACTTTAAAATAAACTTTTTTGAAGGACACCATAATTTTTATTTTTTTCCTTTACACTGGTTCAACTACAACTCCTTTTCCCATGCCATGCAGCCAGTCGGTCCAGCCTGCAGAGATGCAGGGGACACTGCCTCACCTTCCCCTTCCCATCAGAGGCACCGAAAGGCTTCACCCACAGGACTGCGGAGCAGCGAAGCATTAGCTCTGGGCAACATCTACCAGAAACTTCTGGCAACTGAGAGTCTTTAGGAGAACTGATTAAGACAACAGCTATTAAGAGAGCCTGCGAAGCCTCTAAGCATGCACATCCAATTGTCCGCCAGGCCCTCAGCTTCAGTTACTGAAAAAATTGTCCCCAGTCAAGGTGGTATTTTCAGTTTTGTTTTGTCTGGTTGTTTTAAAGCTGGCAGAGAATTAACTTCAAGTGATAAAGAAATCTTCTCTTCAATCCTTTATTACAAAAAGGACAAAATGGCTTAAGCACCACTGGGAAGGGCAATTACATCAACACAGACTACCGCACGGTTAATAGGAGAAGACAGGCATTTCGCTACCCATTACCGCTATTACTTGCGTTAACCTGGCATTTCAGAGCTCCCACGGACCGCGCTCCCCAGTTGCGTGAGGCAAACTATCAACACATCAGCGCTGGACCCCAGCGAGCAGCTGGTTTGTGTCGTGAGAGGGGGTGTTAATGGGAAGTCAGGGCCAGCAGAGCTTTGGCTGAATACCGGAGCAGTGCTGGGAGGCTCGGCAGCTTGGAAACCCCTTTCCTGAACACAACCCTGGATGGCTTTTGGAAAACTCAGCATTGCTTGAGGCTGCTCTGCAGGAAATGCCGTACCCTGAGCTGCAAGAAAACGGAGTGGGGAAGGGAGATATACAACAGCTGCTCATCCAGTTTCTCCCATCAGAAGAAGAAGGGACTAACATTTCTCTCCCACAGTCTCCCACACTTGGGACTCCCTCATCAACCAGCAAAAACCTTTCCTTAGACCCTCCGCATGTCACACTGATAATTAATGTTCCTGGCAGCTCAGCACAGCCTCCCGGGAGCTGTTTCACACAAGACCCCACTGGACTGTTTCTCCCAAGACTGATGTTGCTCTCATTTGTTGTTTGTCTTTTTTGCATTCGAACAGTTTCATCTTGATGGTTTGTCAAACTAAACTGACTACAGAGCTACGTGATGTTCTGGGGGGGGTGAAGCAGCTGAATTAATTCTGGGGGCTGGAAGGTGGGTGAGGAGGAAGAAACACAGCCAGAAGCAGGATCCCAGTGGATTCTCTAGAGGAAGAAGAATTAGAAACGGATCAACAGCCTTACCTCCTGGGAAACACTCGGCAAAGCTTACTGCCAGTGCTGCGCTCACCACAGCACGACACAAAGCAGAGAGACCAGCAGGCTTGTCTCCTGCTTAGTGCAAGCTCCTGACTCACCTGCCCATGACCATCGGATACAAACTCCTCTTGCTGCAGAAGGAACATCCTGGATACAAGGATCCAGTGTCAGATAAGCTGGCTGCAGTTCGGAGCCTTCCTAATCCATCAGTGAGGGACATCGGTCTCGTGCCTGTCACCGGAGAATGCACACGGGGCATCGATGCCCTTAAAATACTAACCAGGCAATACTGCTCGGCCAACAACTCTTTCACTCAGCCTTCCAAAGCTGGGGTCTTTGGGCATGCACTGAATTTAACGAAAGCAAGGTGTTAGACCCCTGGTATTCTGCAGGCACACTCTTCATCCCAGCCTTTGCAGGACGTCTTGCCAGCACAGCTGAACTTTGCCATGAGCAGGCTGCCTGCAGCCACGGGGAGCCTCTCTGCCCCTCCGATTAGGGGCTGGCTCTGAATGTGCAGACATCCAGTTATCTTACATTATCTCTGCTATTTCTGCTCTGGTTTCCTCTCATGAAAGTTAGAGTCTGTGCAGTATCCTTTGGGCTATCAGTCAGAGAGAAGGGCACAATGCACTGCAGTGACCCGAGCCAGCACCAGCGGCAATGGACACCCCGAGAGCAGAGCCTCACGCGTGGTGCAGCCTGATGCAACACCTCTGGCTGCTGGACACAGGGGATTTGTGCATCCAGGATGGCTGGTTTAATCTCAAAGTATATTTAGCTCTGAGCTTTCCCGCTGACAGTGCCAAAAAGAGGATCTGTCTCCAACTGCAGCCTTGGATTTAGGAGTGGTGGCTTACCAAAGGTAAGAATACCTCCTCCTCCCTCGCAGGAGCAGCGCTGAAGCAGGAATTTTAGCCCCATGGGGCAAAAGAATCAATCCCAGCATTTTGGCAAATAAAGACCAGAAACAACAGACTAAATCCTGGAGAGAAGGGCCGGGTGATGGGTACAATGACCTATTTTCCCCTTGCCTGTGGCTGCATCATAAGCTTCGTATCTGCTTAGATAAAGAAACGTTACAGAGCGACTCCCACCCTGGGATGCAGTGCGCAGCCCAAGCAAAGATAAGAGAAGCTAAATTAACCTCAGTGAGGACAGATTACAGCCTAATAGCTTTTAACGAATAAATTAACATCTGCATGCAGCAACGGAGTCAAAGCTGGCCCCGCTATTCGCTCTTTAAAGCTGCTGCCTCAGCCCGAAGGGGAGAGCCCGTACTGCTGCAGCAGGATGAGTTATTGCCTTTCTGCCACCTCATCCTGTGTTTAGACTTCTACTTCTGGGCACTCATGTCTGAGAAGTGCTACCTATGTATCTTGAGGTAAAGGCCATTAAATAGACGATAGGATGAGGATGTGTGGGGTTTTTTGTCTTTCAATCACCTCATCTAAATGGGAGAGAGAATCTCGCGGTAAGCAGAGCATTTACTGGTGCTGATGCTGCAAACACCCCGCAGCTCGCTGAGGAAATGAAACCCCCAGCTGCCACATTTCTTCAAGAAGGATGATAACGCGGGGAAGCGTAATGTGTTTCACTGCACCTCATTTATACAGTGACTACTCCCTGCAGAGGACACGCTTGCAGCACCATTGCCCATGGATTGCCCTTAAACACCCAACCCCAGGGAGTAACCGGAGAGCCGCACGCTTCATCCACAGAGTTGATGCCTACTCACCCCAAAGTCAAAGCAGTTGAAGGAAGAGTGGAAGTAATTTCTTGGCCCCAGTCCATACATCTTCAAAGACATCTCGGTAAGGAACAGACCCAGAAACACAAACTCTGCGAAATCTGGAAGTGGGAAAAGAGATCAAATTAGTCCACAGGACCTTGGTAGGCAGATCTCTTCATGTGGGGAACAACGGTAATTTTTCACAACATAGACTGCCTCCTGCCAGAAGAAAATCCCTTTGCAATGGCAAACAAGACCCCTGAGAACGGTTTCACGTAATTATTTCTACACTCACACGAGCTGTACTCAGCCTTCAAGAACTGTGAAGGCAGCGTTTCATGTGTACTGCCGGAAGGTTGGTATGAGCATTAAATAATATTCTCATCGTCTTTGTAAAGGAATATCAAAAGAAAGCTCTGGATCTAATACTTCTAAAGGTCTAATTTAATTGCACAGGCGATGTTTTGCAAATCTATGTTTGGGATTTCTATACCTACACAAGACGGGCACTTTTGGGAGCAGGGTGTAAGCTTTTGTAACATCCTCTCATGATAAAAATACCTTCACACGCACAGAACTGCTGCCTCCGAGAGCTCGTATTCAGAGGTGTTGTGTCTACTGTTAGCACATAGCCACATTTATTTTCATTATGCCTCCATAACCATGTAATTATGGAAGAGCAAGTTCTGTTGCCTTCTGCTTCACATATCACAGGTAAATAGGCTGTGAAGCTTTTGATGGGAAAATTTATCACCTATGATGAAACAAAGGGCAGAAAGAACATAGCTGGAGACAATTCAGTTTCCAGAACAAGTTTTTAAGACTTGAAGCTACAGAAAACACTGCCTTTAGCATTTTAAGTCACGCAAGTTTAGATCTGGAGGCCAATGAGCAACAATGGAATGATAAAAACAAAAAGGGCAAAAAACCTCTACACTACCAGAACAAACCAAAAAAGCATAAGGCAAACCTCTCCATCTAGAGAAAAGATGAGGAAAAGAAGCAAACTTCAAAGAGTGGAGGTTAATTACATTGCTTAGCGCACTACCGAAGGCTCTCGGATGCTCTAGCAGCGCAGATGCTACAGGGAAGTTGTCTTCTGTAGTTTCAGTCCTACAATCGCAGGAACGATAAAGACAAGAGGGGGCCAACTCCTCTCAAAGGTGCACACAGACAGACAAGGGGCAATGGATACAAGTTCCAACAAGGAAAATTTCAGCTCGATAATCCCAAATCCCGGGTGCAATATGTGGCTTCAGCTAAAGAGTACAGGGAAACAGAAGAGGGAATGAGGGTCCTTTCAAACTGCACGGCTTTCGCTCCGTTCCCTGCCTTGAGTGAGCGTGGTTGGCCCAGGTCCATCTTGCACTGCTGCTTGTCTTCTGAAATTGCTTGGAAAATACAGCTTCAACCATCAACAAATAAAAAGGGGTTTAAAATTTTAAATGGCAGTCATGAAATATCATGGGCATAATGTTAACTGAAATGCAGGAGGCATTAACTAGATGAGAAAGGTTTTATTAACACTTCAGTGAGGAGTCTACAAGGACACTTCTGCCAACATTTGCAATAGGAGAGGAAATACCAGCAGAGTATTAATTATACCATGGAACCTACTGTCCTAGAAAACAGGAGGAATATCGTTAAAGGAGACTATCAAGAGCAAAGTGTTCACATTTGAGGAATAAGATGACAAAGTATGAGCTCTGCAGACTCCTCGGACTTTTTCCTACCAAGAGGCAGGCTCCATCCCCTGGATCGCAGTGCTCAGGGAAGGCATGGTCACACCAAGGCAGCACACCTCCATCTCCCTCCGAGCCTGGAGTTTGCTAGGAGAAGCATGTTCACACCTGCACCACACGACAACTTCTCTCTCCCTTCTGACATGAGACGGGACAGCTCAGCGAACAAACGGTTGTTTCCACCCCAAGGGATCCCAGAGTAGGGAGTTACCCACAGTGACACTCAATCCATCTGTCAGAGTGCAGAGGGTGCGGGAAAGGGACCAGATGAACCAATGTTGGGCATGAGATGGCTGACAAGTCCAACAACATAGAAATACTGAATTTTTAAAAAACATATGTTCAGTGCTATTAAACTTCCTTGCACATAATTAAAAAGATCGCAATTGTGAAGCAGTAAGAATGTTAAAAACCTTAATTATTAATAGCTGGTCCTGTAAATCAGAATCTTAAACTAGCTTCCAGGCCAGATCCTGGAGTTCCATTCTGCACCCTGTGTACTTTGGAAATGGTAAGAAACAGAAGACAAAATGCCCCCAACAAAGCAGATGCATCTTCTCCGGGTGTGCTCCGACTTTGTGCTGCTGCTGTCACCTATTGCAGTCGTTAGCCCAGAGGGAAGCTTGCACCAGCATTTGTGCTGAGAAGAGTTTCCCATGCTGAGAAGTTCTCACTCCCATCTTTGGTTTCACACTCAGCAGAGCTCAGTAAGCCCGATGGTGGTTATTGGAATTACTGCAATGTAAAGTCTCCTGATCACAAGGACTGATGTCAAACCAATGCTTTGAAACCGATGACCTCACGGAGCAGACAAAACTTAAAATCATAGGGGTGGGTTGTAGATGTACAGAGCATCGCACAACCTCCACCTGCTTCACATCCCACTGGCAGGGAGGTTCTGATCCCCCATCTATCCACCAGCCACACCTTCAAGAGCGACATTTCAGGTACACCACATACTCTTATCACAGAATTAAAAAAAAAAAAAAAAAAAAAAAACAACCTAATTAGGGGGTTTTTACTGTAATTTTCACCAACACGTCTCAGTACACTTTGCCAAGGCAATTACATAATTTCAAAAGAAAAAAGAAGGAGGAAAGAAACGAGGATTAATGTTCAGTCGCCCATCCAGCAGAGGTATGGACAAAAACCAGGTATCAACAAGTGCGACGTTCCGTCATCAGGCTGACACATCCTGCAAGCACACGTGCAAAACCAGAATATCACAGGAGGAAAAAAAAGTCAGCGAATGCCCTCTCTAGGTAAAACAGAGTTTAGAAACTCAGAACATCCAAGAAACAACTTCCTGCTGCTGCTCTTGAAAGAACCACCCAACTTGTCCTCTCACGGCTGATAACTTCCATCTCCACCAGAGTTCAAAGCAGGCAGCGATAGCTTTATTCCAGCATGTACCAGATGCTACAAATCACAGTACTGTGAGGACAAGGGATGGAGGCAAGGAAAATACGGACACAGTGAACTCCCTGGGCAGGAGGAATTGACTGGGAATGAATCAGCTTCTCCAGCGGGTGGATCAGAAACACAATTTCTTCTGACATGGCCCTGCCCATATAATTGAAAATGCAATTTTGATGTTTGAACCTCCTGCTATTCTGACCCCACATGTAATTTAATCTACCTTTAAGCAGAAGCATCTTGTAATGCGATTTAAGGAAAAAAAGTTTGATACAAATACTCTTATTTAATTTCAAATTTGTGCTATTGGCAAAGTCCGTGCTAGCATCTTTTGCCCCACACACTTGAATTAGGTAGTTAGTGGCTCTTTTTTGTCAGTCACCCATTGATTAATTCAATTGCTGCCCCCTTGCCAAGTCCAATGTCATTAGGAGCAGGTGCTGAGCCTGCCGCTTCGGCTTCCTCTGCCCTTCCTCCTTGTACGTTAAACCATCCAGGAGGAGAACCGCGGTGAAGCACAACTTCCTGCTCTTTGACAAAGCAGACGTGAAATGTTCAGCAGACATCAATAAATATGCTCGCTTCAGAAAGCCTTTTCCTCGCAATTGCAAAAGCTGCATATTGATATCCAGAGGGAGCTGGCTCCGTGCTTCAAAGGCAAACACATCATCATGGAAAAAAGCCCAACTGCACCAAACACATGGTTCAGCATCGCACAGCACACAGGGAAGACACTCGCAGGCCATAATGGTTAAAATACTATTTTCAAATATTGTATTTATCAGAAAGGAGACATTCTGGCACTTGTTTCTAGGCAGATATAAATTCAGGAGCAAGTTCAGGATGACTGTAGTGCCAGCTGGAGAAACAGAGCTGCTTCGCGAGGGCAGCCCCAGGGGAAGGGCAGCCTGATGAGAGGGCTCCCAAGTGAAACGTTACTGATCCAATCCAAAAACTTCACACCATTGTCCCTAAGGCTGCCCCAGGAACCAGAGAGCTCTGGTTCCAGCCTTCTTCCACAGCTTTAGCCAGAGGAAGAGGAGACCACCACCACTGCTGCATGGCACCAGCCACAGAAACGCTCTGACCTGTTTCCACATTGGGCTGGCAACTTCTGCTCCAGCTACAGCATATATATATTTTAAAAGGCACAGTCCTGACTGAAAAACCCTTAACACTGCACCTCCACAGTGTGCCCACGTTATGGATTTTGTTGGTTTGTTGCCCTCACGGTTGAAGACGCATTTTTGCTGCTGCTAGATGTCAGGGGTGCTTTGCTAGGCTAGAGAGAAGTCTCTTTGTTCCGAGAATACCAGCAATGGTGGAAATTACCACAAACACATGACAATCAAGGGTGGCTGCATGAAATATACACTTCTATAGGGAACTGCAACTTATTTAATTGCAGATCGATGCTTTGGTGAGCAAAACATGCCATGTGTCCATGTGCAGGATGAGAAAACTCCTGTTGCAATGTGGCCCTGGAGTCCTCTCCACGCAGAGATGGAAACTCTCTGATCTAATTTGGGGATAATTACAGGGGCATACAGTATGTCCTGTTCTTCACCATACCCCAAGAATTCAATTTCTCATCGGCTTTTTCAATAAGACTAAAGAAAGCTCCTACAGTTCCTTTTTTCAAAGCAGTTGCAGCAATACGGAATATCAAGCGGAGAAAGCTAATCAGAACAATTCAACAGCAGAAAAGTTAAAAGAAAAGACCAAGGGAAAAATAAATCAGTGCAGACCCGTAGGCTTTTACCAACCATTCTGTAAGTAAAATTAATTTATAATGTAATTAAACTTTTCCCCAGAGGGACAGGTATAATTGAATTAGAGGTGCCTGGGTAGAGTTTCAGGGTTTAGCGGATCCTCCCAGACTTTACCACGCTCCTCTCCCACTGCTAGCTCACACAACTCCTCATCAGTTCATTTCTAAGCACTTTCCATGAAAAAACATCATTAGTATCGGCTATTTCTCTCTTGCTCTACATCCAACCAGACAAGTCCTACTCCTCTGTAGCAAAGTTCACTCATCACGGATTAACTTTAAAACCATTTTAAAACTCTGTCACTCTTACAGCTCAAGGATTTTACCAAGTATTCCCAGGAGCTGCTTAAAATCCCCTGGTTTTGTGATATCTCATTCTGCCTGTATCAAACGGATTTGTGCACGGATCTTGGACAGAACGGGGCTTTCAAGCAGCACTCCTCGAGGGCTCAGCCACGGCTGGGCTCCTTCACCAACGCGTTTGGTGCAGGATTGCTCAGGATGGCTGCAGTCCCGTGCATGCAGGAGTGAGGGGTCAAGTCCAGTCTTACCCTGACTGCAATAGTGAAATAATCAGTTAGTCCACGCAAAGTCCCACGTACCTTGAGGCGTAAAATATTAAACTTTAGATTAGTAGGAAATATTATAGTATGAAAACTGTATCATCAGGAAAGCAGGCAGAAGCCTTTAGGTTATCACCAAGGTGAAGACAGGCATGAATACAGCACTGCAGCTCATTGCCCCGGAGAGCTGGGAGGGTTTGGAGGTATGGGACTCTTGTAATTTAAGAGGTTGAATTTAGGAGCCATTTCAGTGGACAATTCTCAAAAGTTTTTTGTTCTGAAAATTACATTAAAAGAGCTTTCTTCCCAGAGTTTCCAGTACATTATGCTGTAAGACAGACCGGAGACAATCCTCCCTGGAATGAACTCATGGTGCCTCTGCTCCTCTTCTTGGGGAAAACTACCTTGGAAACAAAACCAAACCACACCACCACCCCCCCAAGTTACCTAGAGCACCTTAGAATTTCCGTAACGACCATTCTTTCTGCATCTCTGGCTTTTATTTCTGCGTCACGGTGGTTAACCTTGTACTACTCCATTTAAAGACCCAATGCTTGTACCTATACGAGAACATCCACAAAGCCTTTGATTCCCTCAGGTATTGGGGTTTGGCCATGCCCCATCCCTGTGTTGCCCCTCCCCAGTTACAGTGTTGTTTCTAGCGGCATTTATCTGTAGCCATTAGTATTTCTTTTAGTGAATCTAAGGGATGGATTTGGGAAACATCTGCCCAGGTGTTTTCTTATTGACAAAGGACACCCGGGCCCTACAGTAAATGGCAGTGCAATGACACGAAGACATGTCAAGGGCAGACGAGATGCAGGAAAACACCTATGGCCGAAAGGATGCTGAGGATTTAACATATGGTTCTTTGGTGGTTTTTCTGACTTTCCCATTAAAAATAATTCAATGGGATCACTTGTTCTTAGCTAGGTAGCACTCCAGCACCAAGAAATTAAAATGCGCTACCCAAGTTCTCCTGAAATTAATTCACAGTATCGGGTGCTATGGGCAGATCCAGAGCTCCTGAAAGAAGGATCCACCCCAATTCCTGATCCCAGGTACAACACAATTTCAATCTTCCCTACTTTTTCTCTTTAGGTACAGAAGTAGGCTGGAAACCTAATTTACGGCCTCTGTCCCAGGTCCATTTCCCACTTGGAGCTGTAGATTTAATTCTAATCAGCAGAAGCACCCCTGTCAGCTTTCATACGAACTTCAAGTAGAAGTTGCTGGCTCAAAGATTTCTTAATCTTCTCTTAGAAAAGTGACTGCATAAGGTGTTCCCAAAACTGAGTTTGGAAATCTGAAGTCTTCTTTTTTGAGTTGAAAGAATCCGTGTGGGGTTTTTTTTCTAGACTTTTAGTCCTAATTCAAGAGGAAATCTTAAGCCTCAACCTTCTAATTACTCTGCCAATCTAGCTTATTATTTCCTCTGTTAAATTTAGGAAACTAATAAGGAAGACTGACTTCTCTGCTGTGTAGTCTGTCTCACTTTTCAGTCTAAATCTTGTAAAAAAAAAAAAATCCAACCCAGAGTTGAAAGAAGTTTACTGTCCTTCTTATTCATCTCTCACTAATAGCTCCAGTTACCTGCCAGTATTAAATCCTCCAGCAAACATCAATAGGGAGCTTTTTGAAGTCTGAGCAGCTAGTATTCTCGACCTTTTAGGTCTGCAAAAAAATACTTCAAAAGTTTGCCTCTTTATCATAAGGTAAGAAGTATTTAAGTATCTGATTTATATAGAAATCAATGAAAATTAGGTAGATAAGTATCTTTAATGATCTAAGCCACAGTTATTAAGTCAGACTGTTTGAAATATTTGGGTTTTTTTTCCTAGTCTTCTGTTCTCTTGCTTCAGAAGTTTTACTTAACAAATTCTGAACTAGCCACATCTGAATATCTGAACAAATTATCTGCTCCTGGCCATTTTATAGATTCGGAAGTGGCCAATGCAATGGCTCTGACTTCCAGAAAAAAAACCTTTAAAGTCCTTCCTTTCAGAAGGAAAAATTTGCAGTGTACCATTTTCAGTGTCACCATATTCCTGCCTTACCAATTTCTACAAGTCCCCCAGCTCTAGGAATCATAGCCTATAACATTCATTAAAAAAAAATTTACAAAGCTCTGTTCCTCACTGGCCACATTTTGTTTAAACAAGCTTCGGGAGCAAGTCTGCAGCCTCAGCGTAACACTGTGATGTGCAAAGGCTCTGATTGCCTCCACTGCTTATTCATCATAGGACAGACCAATATGCAATTAAAAAAAAATAAAAATCATACTTCAAAAGCACTTCTCGACTATCTGAAGCCTAAACCAATAGGTCACCACAGGAACCCAATGGAAGTAAAGCTTTTGCACACATATAACATAATCTGCTGTATGGTATCATTTCTATCACTACTGCACATATTTTTCCAGAAGGGCATCATGACATCCATCCCATTGAATCACACACCGTTAGTAAGGAAGACACAATTGTCCAACAAGACCTTCTGTAAAGTTAAAACCTTTTAAAGAATATGACAATAATTGTTACGACTGTAGTGAACTCCAGTATGATCCTACAAGCACAGACAGACATTCTTCTCTCCCAGGTAGCACTGGCCATTGCACATGCTGCTCTCCCAGGGGCATCAGAGCTGCAGAGCTCTACATATGTCCACAATAAAAATAACCCATGGATGCAGATCTGCTGCAAAGTGTCATGAATTCTGCAGTTCTCTGGGCAGACCCTGATCAGACAGAGAAACCTGCCCTCATCCAAGTGCAGAGCCATCACCCCTCCTTTCAGAAAGCCTGCTACAGAACAAACATTTCTGCAGTGTTACAAGATTCACACACAGTTGAATCTGAAGTTTCAGATAACATTTAGGATCACATTCCCATCTCAAACCAGTATCACATCCTGGTGGATTTTTTCTGAATGGTATGTCTCCATTACTCTTGAGTTACCAGAACCACTCAATGCATCCCTCCTCCGAGGGATGATGGAAAACCAGACCTCACGGGGACGTGACAGCAGCGCTCAGAGTGATCAAAAACGCATGAACTCGTTAAAGGAAAGGTGAAGTCCCTGGTACTCACACAGCGCAGTGGTGAGCTTCTCCGGCTGGTCGTAGTGCACCATCGCGACGCAGAGCGTGTTGAGGGCGACCACGCAGAGGACGATCCAGTAGAAGCTCTGAGCTTTCACCATGCGCCGGATAAAGAACCGGAACATCTTCTCTTTCCTCCGAAAGTAGGATGAGCTCTCGTTCTTCCCACTCTTCAAACTGGCACGGGCAAAAGGAGAACCTGAGACAGAAAGAAGAGTCACCACACCACAGCCCAGCAGGCAAAAGGCTGAAGGATGCTCCCAGGCACACAGACCCTCTCCCAAGCACCAGCAACATGGCTGAGCAGAAAGCTGGGCACACCGACGATGGGCTGAGCAAGGGCACCTCGCCTGCCATGACATCGTGAGGGATGAAGGCTGGGATTTTAAAACTGCATGAATGAATGCCCAGCTCCACCATCTAAAGAAACTGGGCTTCCAGTCCCTTGAAGCAATTTGGATTGTCCCAGTTTAATGCAGAACTTTTGGTTTCCCAGTTGACCGGAGGGACAGTACCAGGCACAGAGGTATGTCTGCCCGTGGTGTGGAGCAGATCCTTATGGAGCTGGATAGCTGCCAACGGGAAAGCTGGTCACCACTTCCCCTGCTCCAAGGACCAGGCAAAGCTCCAGCCCTTCCTAACGAACTGAGTGAAGTCTCCTTATTTTCCTCTCCAACTTCATGTAATTCTACAGCAGAGGGCTCAATCTGCCTCCATGCATCGTATTTTGGGCACAGCTACTCATTTGTATCAATTCTGCTTGTATCAGCTACATTTCCAGTCTGGTCTGAAACCCTGGAAAAGAGTCAAATGCTTTAACAATAGGAAGCTGACGGAAGAACTGATTTCTAATGTAAGCTCTCCCCCTGCGGTAGCAGGCACTGTTGAAACAAATGATGAAAAGGCAATCTCCGGCCAGTGCTGAGACAGGAGAAATCAGCACACGTTAGGAATAAACACCCATTGGAGTTCCTCTGCAACAGCCCGCTGCCTGTTTCACACCGGGCTGGCACCGCTCAGCAATTGCTAACAAACCTTGTTTGAAGATGGTTTGTGGCAAGATAATATGCTATTGCCCTTCCCCATCGTGGGACGGAGCATCCCAGCAGGTAGGGGTGACCAGGACACACACCGTCCTGTCTTGGCCCAAGCACCATGAGAGCAGATGACTTGCACGGGCTGTCGTTGGAGACGGCTGAAGAACGTGAACACAGTGTTCTGGCTGCGGCAGCCAAATTTTGGAGTATGCTGTCTTACTTTTCAACACTTGGAAGGGGAGGGAATCTTATCCTGTTTCATCCTGCAATAGCTTCAACCACAGCGCCCATAAGAAAGGACGAAGCATCCAGATGTGACAGCAACGGGTTCTCCAAGCCTCACAGCTACACCGCGCCGTCTCCCCAGTACAAAGCAGGCTCTCTGCTCCGTTTCGCATTCCTGGCCATCCACCAAACACACCAAATGCAGCACTGGCCCTGGCCAGGCTTTGAACAAACTCCCTGCAGAATAGCTCAGTGTGCTGTTGTTCTGTTAGTTTGATAATCCTCCTTTTGTCAGTTAGAAAAAAAAAAATCATTTAAAAAAATCATATTGCTTATCTATTGCTTTAAAACAACAAACTGAACTACAGGTTAAGATACAGGCTGCACTGTATCGTAATACTGTCTAGCAGGTAAAGACCTCTCAGACACTGAAGCCAGTCTATTCGCTCAGATTTACATGGCAACAGTCTGCTGCCCTTTCGTCCCCTCTCTACTGATCTTCCAGAACAGTAAAGCAGCAATGCACATTGTGTATTTAAACTGATCTAAACGTAGAAAACATCCACTTCTCTGGACAATCTGGCAATCGAGACAGTGCCCTGTGTCTACAGCGTGGAGGGTGAGAAGCCAGAAGGAGCCCGCATCTACCTCTGCACGCTTATTAGTGCGGAAAGAAAGGCTGAGAGTTAGGAGGAAAGAAAAGAAAAAACGTTAAGAACAACTCCAGAGAACACACTGGGAAGTGTTTACCACTATAGGGCTCTATAATGCAATTATAAGGCTCATTGAGGTACTTGTGTTTGAATTAAAGTGCAACGCATTCAGTCAACGGCCAGCAAGAGACCTGTCAACGTCCCTACGGCTCTGGTCTGCATCTTCACGTTGCACTCAGTGATTAGCTGGTTAGTTCTTCCCCAGTCCTTATGCTCCCATCAGCCAGACTTTATAGGAAACCATCCAAAAAAACCTCTTCTCAAAAACATATTTTTTATGCATAATTGCCCATATGACACGATTGTTTATGTTATGCAGAGCTTCAGCCTTTTCAGGAGCCTGCAGAACTATCTGCCTTATCCATTTCTTCTCTTCTGCCTTGTTCCACAAATCAAAATCAAAAACACTTTTCCCAAGTGGGTGAACCACTCGCAGAAGGTGGAAAGCACTGCTGTTATTTTCCCTGCCATATGCTCCTGAGACAGTTCCCAGCTCTGCATCAGATTATCTCCGAGCCCAGATGCTCCGGCATCCGTTGCCACCTGAAATGGTGAATTCAAAGATCTGTTCATGTGGCATGGGTGCCCAGAGCCTGGAGGGACTTGGATGTGAATGCAAAGGTCTCGTTATTATTGCAACCATGAACAACTGTTCCAAAAATGACCATTCCTTGTTAATCCATGCAGGGATCTGAGCTGTTCAGAATAAAACAAAACCAAACCACACACGGTTGCTGCATTTTTGTGCTCTTTCAGCAGCAAACCTCTCTTAGAGGTGTCAGCAGTTTAGCCAGAAAACCTGCAGCCTGCTCAGCCTGGGGGCCGGTGGCAGTTCAACAGTGGGTGATGGTGTCAGTGACATGCTGAGCAACATTCACTTCCTGCAACCCCGTCTTCATTTAAAGGGGAAAAAAAAAAATCGCAGTAGCTGTAATATCTGAAAACATTAACACCAGATTTCCAGAGAGCATTTCAGGCACTCATGCTCGCAAGCATATACAGACAGTTACTCTCAGATGTGCTGTTTGTGCTGCTACTCTGAGGCATCCAGGATTTGCTGCTTCGTGGTAACTGGGGTGCCAAGCCAGTTCTTGGGAAGATAATGAGAATTTCGGCTGCTTCAGCAGCAAAACAAAACACAGACTCAAACAACAGGGACAGGAATAAGCAAAATAGCTAACTCCAAAGCAGTTGGGAAGATGCCTCCCCAGCCAGCACGTAAAAGCCCACGACTGCACCATCTTTCTGCTGATGTCCAAAGATCTCCCCTTAGATGAGGTGCTGCGGGCTCAGAGCCTGCCTCCCTTTGCAAACCCCAGCCCTGCCTCCTGCCTCTCCACCCGGCAGCGTCCCAGGAGGGAACTGGCTCCCGGGTACCTGCAGGACAAGCAGGACTCCTGCAGCCTGACAGCATCTTAGTCTCCAGAACTGAAGACACCAAATTCGCAGCATGAGTGCTGCGCTGTGCAGGATGGCACGCTCTGCACTGGAGGTATGGGGGTAATCACCCACAGGTGTGCATCTCCATATCTGGCTTTAAAAATGTAGAGAATGGCTTTAAGACCTTCTTCTAAGACAAGGCTGAGAGAATCAGGGCCACTGCCCAGTATCTCCCAGTAACCGTTCACACAGCAAAGGCTGCAAAGCTCCATGCTGTGTGTTAGTGACAGACGTGACTGAGTGTCCACGTCCTCTCCTCCCCACAACAGATGGGGCTGAGCAGCATTGTTTGACATATTTGGGTTTCGTTTGCATGAACAAGCACGTTCCCAGCAGAATCCCGGGATGGCCAAGGCAGCAGGGATTCCCCAAGCGTTTCGGCAGGGCGCTTTTCAAGGGTGCAGCATGCAAGAGCTGAGCCGGGCAGCGTGGGGGAGAGGGTGAAGCCACAAAGCCATTTGCTTTGGGAAGTCGAGTGCTGCTGCAGGAGCAGTGAGGGTTCTTCTCCTTGAAACTGCAGCTTCTGGAGCAAAGGAGCCGCTTGGAGGAAACATGACAGGGACACGTTCAGGTGGAGATCTAAACCTCGGGGAATGCGAAGCCAGTACTCACCAACGGAGCAAATGTCTGTGAAATGGTCCTCACCTTCTTCAGCATGAATCAGGTCATTTTTGCTCTTCTTTATTGCGGCTCTTTTCAACACTGTGTGCAAATTAAAGAGAAAACGCCCCGTGAGCATTCAGAGTGGATTCCCTCTCCCCCTCCCTTCACTCTCCAGGGCCAGCGTTTCCTTCCCAAAGCCAGCTTCAAGCTCTCACACAAGGGTAAAGCTGGAGCACATCAGACAACCTACAACCTTGCAGGGCCTCCGCGTGCTTCGATGCCAGGGTCCTTTATTGATTGAACCTTCGTGGAGGTTTGCCAGGCGGAGCTCTGCACGCTCACACACCACCCCAGCAGATGCAGGAGGAGGGTGGGGGGGGTCACTGTAGCTGCTGGACCTTTTAGCACAGCGGAAAGGCTGGGCAGGGTCACTGCGTCTTTCTGAGCCCCGGTGGGTTATGAGATGAGTGCTTCTGTCCATTAAAAACATTAACGCTGTTTACAGTGTGCACCATTAAGACGTTAGCGTTTACGGTGCTGGGATACCACAGAGCAATGCTGTAAGCAGCAGAACCGGTGAAAGGAACCGCCACAAATCAGTGAACATGCTCCTAGTAGCGACCATTGTGTATCTCCTTCCCTCTGGGGACATCGTAACGCTTTGAAAACACGCTTTGTCCAACAGCACGTTTTGTGGGGAGGGCAAACATCGCCACACCACTTTATTCAATGGGGAAAAAAAAATTGCAGCCTAAGGCTTGGAGAGGTTTGCGCTGTTCCCCCAGTGCACGAGGGGTAAGGCAGGACCAGTGTGGATACCGGTCCCATCACCACCTACCTGCAAAAACCTTGAGAACTAGCAGAAAAAAAATACATCGATACAGTTTTGTAACAGCTCCAAGACACACAGGAACTAAGCACCGTTTTCGATCAGCAGTAAGACACCCCACGGTGTGGTGATACATACTGGTCAGTGGCACACACAGCAAACCACGCACTCTGCAGCGACTGCCCTGGGGTAGGTTCCTACGCGAAGTTCCCCTCGCCCTACACAAATCTCCCTGACCTCGGCAGGGAAAGGGATGCGCTTCTTCCTCCGCAGCTAAGGCAAGCGTTAGTGCTTTTGTCACGTCAGGAACACACAGAACATCACCCAGGTTTGGAAAGGCTCGGAGAGGAGGGGATGCTCTGAACCTGTGATCTGGATCCAGGTTTTTGCAAATAACTGCTTTTGCTCTTTTCTTCCCCACCCAGCAGTAGGCTGAACCCTCACTCCCAGCAATACCAGCTCTTGGGTCCTTCAGGCTGCATCTCTCCCAGTACACTCCAGTAGGTCCAGGGCCATTCCCAGCACTGGAACACAACCAGCCCTGGGAGGAAAGTTTACAACACTGTCTGGCATGAGTCAAGCACCTTCTTCTTTATCTTCTCCCCCAGAGAACTCCTGGGTGTGTTCAGCAATTGGGTTGTGCCATCTCTCCAGGCACCCCGGCTGCAATGTCCCTCTGTTTTGGAGACTGAGACAATTTACCAGCATAGGTGTGGGCTGCTCCATACCAGTTGGCATCAACGCTGGGACCACTGCCAGGCTCCTTTAGCTTAGTATAGAGGGAGCCTTACTATAGCTGGGTCTTTACTCCTGTACCCACCTCTATTCTTACGCCACTCTTTTCTTCCAGACACTCATCGCAACTCGAGACTAACAGCCCTGGCTGCACCCACGTGCTGGACAAACACACGCACACCCACGCACCTGCACACACGCACGAAGATTTGCCAAGCACACCTCACCCTGACCTTCTGCAGCCCCAGCTCTTCCTCCCCCGAGTCCTCCTCGCACCCAGGTCCCCAGCCTGGCCAAGGCAGATCCACAAGCGGGTGCCCCAAGGAGCCGCGCGGCTCGGAACAAGGTGCAAAACCACCCGGGAAAGCATCACCGGTGACCTGGGTGCGTGGGGCTGCGGGGGGGAAGCACTGCCCCGCTGTGCCGCCTAAGCCCCTGGTGATTTGCAATCCACTCACCCGCTGCTAGTCTCTGCCGGTGCCGTGCCTTGTTGAATCGGCCCTTCCGAGGCGGCCCTCCCTGACAGTGAATGGGAGGAGAAAAAAAAAGAGGAAGGAAAAGGGAGGGGAGGGGAAAGGAGGAGAGATGGGAGGACGAAAGATGGTCAGAAAAGGGAGAGGGAAGAATCTTTAACTGAACTTTGACTGGCTGTCGCATCCTAAAGAGCTCATCGGTCTGGAGGCACAGGGAGAGCGGTCCCCATCCTGCAAGGCTAGGGTCACACGTCGGAAGGTCGGATCACCACACCCTGTTATGTCTTACTGCTTACAAGTAACAGGGGTCTTAGTCTTTTTGTCAAAGCCATTTGGAAACCTCGGTTTAGAGCCCTGCCTTCTCTCAATCAATGCATTTCTCTCCTGGCATCCTCTCTGCAGCCTATCCCTGACACAGCCACCCACGCTCGGCTGACGGGTGTCCCCATCACGCTGCGGTCCCCCAGGCAGCGTAGGGACTGCCCGACCCCAAGGGCAGATCCCCATCCCAGGGTGGTGTGTCACGTAACTGCTCATCATCCACCTGCAACCTCAGAAAGACCCAATATGGGAAAAGGGACTCTTTAGCTCGACTTATGCCAAGTGCATGCAAGAGTGTGCTCCTCACACCCTCCTGGTTACAGCGGAAAGCCACGTCAGCGTGAACCTCTCACGTACCACAGGAGCAAAACCACACAGCAGAATGACCTACCGTCCAGAGGAGATTTCTCTTCTGCATTCTTGTCTTCCTCTGCCAGCATGACCTCCTCTGTAAAAGGAAAAACAGCAAAGTTCAACCTCAGATTTATCCCATCCCTGCTCTAAAACCAGCCGAGATGGATGCAGGAGGCATCTGTCCCAGCTGCCACCAACCTACCCCCACTGTATTTCCCAGTGACACCCAGTCCGTGGAGGAAGGGCTGGCTCAGAGAGCCATGTTCCTCACCCTGTGCCCCTCTTGCACCGGGGGAGGAGGCCAGATAAGCCACTGGACAACTGTAGCACTTCCTCCGTGATTTCCCTTCCACAGTAAACGACCCACTCCAGTTTCTTTACCCGGCCATCTGGAGAGCAAGAACCTTCCTTCAGACCCAAGCAAGACCACAGGGTTCCACCAGCCAGAGGATGGCCCCTCATACATTGGAGATGCTGTTTGAGGGGTGAAAGATGCTCAACACTCTTTGCTGCTCTTCTGGCTCCAGCAATAAGACCAGCACTCCAGGCCAGGGGAAAAAAAATTCTGTCTCATGGCCCAGGGTAAGACAAGCAGGACTGGCTGCTGCATGTCAGCTGTGCCACATCGCAGGGGACAGAATGACACCCAGTAGCTACTGGATGAAATCTTTGTTCAAATAAAACCCACAGCAAAGCAGCCATGGGGGAGTTCTGGCTGGGAGCGCTCAGGTTGTGCAATACGTGCAAGAACGTCACCGTTGGGTTTCCATCGCTGTACAACTCATCTCCAAAATACAAGTTTATATTCTCCTACAGTGAAAGAATTTAGAAAACACTGAAAAAACCAACCACCCAAAACTGACTCATTTTTTATTTGCATGAAAGACAACCAAATTTCCTGAGGTTTCACCGTGCAAATGTCATCACCCATGTCAATTTGCAGCACACTCCATGCTGTGCCAATAATTGAAACCATACAGTTCATACAGTCTGAATGTCTGAACCACAATTTTTAGCTTGATGTTGTAAAATCATCTAAAGATTTTCTTCTAAAGGTCAATCTAAAGCCAACAAAATATTGAGTTGGCAGCTGGTAAACTGTACACGTCCTTGTGTTATTAAAAATGACAAATTCTTTCACATGTTTGGCAGAGATGTAATTTGGGATCTTACTAAATCATCTGACACTGTGTTCCCACTAAATTTTGCTTTAAAGTCCATTTAAGCCAGCCTAGATGGAAGGGTAGCTTACAAAAAAAACCAAAACCCCAAAAACACCACCAAAAAACCAAACAAACCACAGGCCAAACATCAAAGTGTGCAGCTGAAAGCTGTCTGGAAGAACACTAGAGGGATCAGAACTACCATGCGAGCCTTATATAATCTCTTTATTAATCATCTGGGAGAAAGAATGAATGATACATTAATAAGACGACAAACTGAGACGGCTAAAAAATAATATTCAGGAGCAAGACTGAAAACCCAAGCAGATGAGAACAAAATAAGAAAAGTAGTGCCCCAGGGAAGGGTTAGAGGGCAAGGAAAGCAATGGTGCTCAGAGAGGGTTAAAAAATGTCAGGTGAGCTAACAACTTGAAAATGCATTAAATCCTCCCCAAAACCCACAAGTTAATACAATTCAGTTGCTCTCCAAGGCTCTTTAAAACAGGACAGAAAACTGAAATGGGCTTTTTTTGGTAGTTCAAGAGAGATCTCTCTCTAAAAGGCACCTCAGAAACCAAAAGTTCTTCCAAAGTCTCGTCTTGGGAAAAGCTGAGCTGGTGTTTTGGGGCTAAAAATATGGAGGGAGTTAAACAGCAATTAATAATGAACCTGAGGTTTCATAAACCAGAGTGCTAAACGCCAGTGGGAGCTCAGAGTTTGCCAGGTGTGACAATTTGATATCAACGTATCTCCACCTCCAAAGCACATGCTCTTTGAGACAACTGCAAACCAGCTGAGCCTTCGCCCCAAGTTCAGGGCTCGGAGTAGATGCCCAAACCTATCCCCATACATAGACACAGCTCACCAGGGCTCAGCTTTATTGTTCCCTTAAAACAAACAAAATCCAGGTTTTGACTGTGCAGTTCCCCACTCTCCTGCACCATTGCTCCCATTCTCTCCCTTGATAGTCTCTCCTGTCTTGTATCCTCCGGGAAACTAAAGGACCACATCTCCCCCAGTGAGGCTTTACACAGTTTTTAAGCCCTGCTAAAATGACAGCTTGGCAGACTAGTCCTCATTGCTAGGATTTATTTTTCTTAACCAGGATCAGAAGTTGCATTGCCTTTAGTCTCGGTAACACAGAGAATGGAAGAAGATAATTAGGATGCCTGAAACCCCCCCGAACAACAGTGGCTCTACATGAGAAGAGATACTCAACAAAGAGACAGCATAACATCAGCGACTTCCAGCCTCCAAACACAGGCACAGGGGCTTCGTTAGGCGATCAGAGTGAGAGGAGCCTCAGCAGCGAGATTAATTGCTGGTCATTAAGTACTGACAACACACGGGACGTTACAGGAGTGGAACTAAAGGCAAACCTTACACTGAGGAAGCGGCAATCAGCCACTTCCAACAAAACCAGGCAAAGCAGCAGGGAAGCGTGGCACCCCTCTTTGGCATGGGGAGACAGGACACCGTGGGCTCAAAAGAGCAGATTACAGGGAATAACTCACAGTCAACAGGCAAGTTAAAA